TGTGTGTGTGTGTGTGTGTGTGTGTGTGTGTGTGTGTGTGTGTGTATAGAAGATGTCTCACATTTTCTTTACCCAATAATTTATCAAAGGACACTTCAGTTGTTTCCATGTCTTGGCCACCATGAATAATGCTGCAATGAACATCGGGGTACATATATCTTTATAGATAAATGTTTTCAGATTTTTGGGATATACCCAGAAGAAGGGTTGCTGGGTCATATGGTAATTCTATTCTTAATTTTTTGAGGAACCTCAACAGTGTCTTCCATAGTGGTTGTACCAATTTACAGCTCCACCAGCAGTATATGAGGGTTCCTTTTCTCCACAGCCTCTCCAACACTCATTACTATTTGTCTTGTTGATAATACCCATTCTAACAGCTGTGAGGTGGTACCTCATTGTGGTTTGGATTTGCATTTCCCTAATAGCTAGTGAAGCTGAGCATCTTTTCATATATCTGTTGGCCAGTTGTATGTCTTCTTGGGAGAAATGTCTGTTCAGATCCTCTGCACATTTTTTAATTGGATTCTTTGGGGGGTTTTGTTGAGTTGTACAAGTTTTTTATATATTTTAGATAATAGCCCCTTATCAGAGGTGTTGTTTGCAAATATTTTCTGCCATTTCGCTGGTTACCTCTTGGTTTTGTTGATGGTTTCTTTTGCTGTGCAGAAGCTTTTTATTTTTATGTAGTTCCATTTATTTATTTTTGCTTTTACTTCCCTTGCCTTTGAAGTCAAATTCATCAAGTCCTCTCTGAACCCAAGGTCCATAAGTTTAGTACCTATGTTTTCTTCTATGCAATTCATTGTTTCGGGTCTTACATTTAGGTCTCTGATCCACTTTGAGTTAATTTTGGTGTCTGGTGACAGATAGCAGTCTAGTTTCATTCTTTTGCACGTGGCTTTCCAAGTCTCCCAGCACCGTTTATAGAAGAAGCTTTCTTTTCTCTATTGTATGTTTTCGGCTCCTTGTTAAAAATTATCTGCCTGTAGGTGGGTTTATTTCTGGTAACAATTTTGATTATGTGCAGGACCCTACATAAAACATCATGAGAGATGCCAAAGTAGCAGAGTACAGCATGCCTGCCTTCACGTCTTTGCATTATAGTGGAAGATTACATATAATTTTTAGGTGAGGGCATAATACAGCTAGAAGCAAAAGCAGACATTCATAATAGAATAATAAATGCTACCTTGGCATTTTTGGTCAGGAAATGTGAGTATGACATTTTATAGGATGAGATGGATGATAATTGAAGGAATCGGAAACACAGAGAGACTGAACCTACTTTAGTTTGTTAAGATGCCTGTGGACTGCTTTTTGTATGTATGTATGTACGGTTGCAAAACACCTGGCAGATTCTTGCCTTCTTAAATAAATGTCTTTATCTTCCTAAATACATCCGATACACACTTTGAAACATCCAGAACAGAAATCCAGTCACCTTAAACTTCCATAGTTCTTACTTCTACATTGAGGGTTATAATCCTATCAATATACTGTATGTCCAATCCATAGTCCTGCATTAAACACAATACATACATACAAATATACAAATACTCACTCACACACACACACACACACATCCTAAGTTGTGATGTGATCATAAATGATTGTTATATCTTTGTATATAATATTCACTATATATTGAATATCTCCCATATACCAGGCACTATGCAAGGTGCTAGGAATTAACTATGAATAAGACACAGCTTCTATCTCAAGGAATTGAAGGCTAGTTGAGTGAAAAACATGTAAACAAAAATAACAATATAGAACTGTATTATTCGTGATAAGGTTTCATTATAAAAGCCTATTCATAAACCTACACTGCCATAGTACACACAACCGATAGGTACATTTATGTAATTTTAAGTTGCACTTTTATCTCAATTACACATTCTATACAACTCTCATTATGGCTTTATCATTAACTTAATGATGATGTTAATAAAATACCTCAGAATAAGCACAAAAAGAACAAGCACTCTACAAACAGCAAAATACGCCCCACTTTGAAGACGGCTGAATTATGAAAAAACATTCCACCCACATGTGACCCAGAAATCTGTTGGTGACAGAGGTGGCTCCAACATACAGCTTAGTTTAATCTGTGAAAGTTATAAAGTCCAATTTTCTAAGTAGAGAGGTTTCTGGATAGTGTAACGAGTACAATACTAGAGAGCTGATAGGTAAAATGATAGATAAAGGAGAAAACTATTTCCCTTGTCTAGAGTAGGTGAATGAAGCTTTGCTAAGGAGACTCTTAAGCTGGAGTTCATAGAAGCGGAAGCTCAGCAGATGAAGAACGGAAGGAAATTCAAAGCCAGAAACACATCACAGGCAAAGACAAGGGGTGAGAGGTCGGCCCACTCAAGCTCAGGGTGTTATGGAGCAAGGACCAACGAGGAGGTTGGAACGCTGGACAGGAAGCATGGCGAGAAGGTAAAGGCAGGTGGAAGGGAGGAGTCACTGGGGATTTAAGCGGAGGAGTGACAGATTCAAACTTAGGTTTAGAAACATCTTTCAGGTGGAAGCAGAAGCACTAGTGAGAGAAGGCAGCTTGTCGAAGGCAGTCTAAGCGAGGGATGAAGGACGGAGGGTATGAGAGAGGCTGAGAACATCAAAGCTGATCGGACTTAAGAAAGAATGAAATGTTCAATAGCAACGAATTACTGGACCGGGAACCAAAATTAAGTGACTTGATCTACTTCGAGCTATTTCAAGGCGGTGAGTTCCTTTGAGAACTGTTGTTGACTAGCGAGAAAGAAACTAGACAATAAAATCCAAGTGATCTTAAAACATAAACCTTATTTTATTTGGCAGTTCATTTCATCAATTCTTTAACTCACACTGAGTCAAATATACCGGCTTGAAGAATCTATACGGAGGACTTTAGGTAAAAATAGCCTGGGTCTTTAATTGAAATTAAATGTGTACATCAAGGGACTCAATCAAGGCAGATAGCTTTTTATTGTGACTTAGTCATTGGGCCTATAAGAGTACTAAAAATTATTTTTCATATTTAATTCATTAGCATTGATGATCTATAAGATTTAAAATAAAGGCAGTGATCCTACATGAGACCCAGGTCTAAAGAAAAGGAATACCAATGTACTAACCCTAGACTACTTTTTTGTTATAACAACATAATTCTTAACAAGCAAAACATTTGATAAAAATTCTTAATACATTGGAAAAGTTTTTAGAATAAAATTCTATTAAACTTCTCAAACTTTATGTTCACAGCACACTGTTATACTCTTATACTGAGAACTACAGAGAGCTTTTGTTTATATGGATTCTATGTATCAATAGTTACTGTATTAGAAATTAAATTTTAGCTGCTTATTTATTTTTAAGTAAGTATAATAAAATTTATACCGGTAAGGTAGATTAACATATTTTTATGAAAAAGAACTATATTTTCCAAAACAAAAAAAATTAGTGTGAAGAGTGGCACTGTTACAAAGTTTTCCAAACCACTTTAATGTCTAAAGGACACAGCTGGATCTCAACTTGTTTTTGCATCAAACTATTGTGATACGTTATCTTGCCTGAACTACATGAAGAAAGTCCAACATAAACAGACATGTAGTTAGAAAACGGAAAACAATACAAACCCACTGAAAGGGTCTTAGGGACGGACACCCAGGGGACCTCCAACAATACTTTAAGAACTACTGATAAAAATGTTAAATACAGAAGTTTTGTTCAGTCATCAACTAATATTCTCCAAAAACACCTGAATATTGAAAAAAAATGCCTTATATTCACAGATGAAGAGGAGGTGATGGAGGAGAAGAGATATCAGGAAACTTAAAAATTAAATAATTTGGGTGCCTTGCTACTGTGATCATTCAAGATCCTTTCTATTGCTTTTATAGAATTATAGCAATACAAAGAATCTTTGAGAGTGTACCTCAAAATTAACAAAACAAAAACAAAGAACCAAAAGGGCTAAAGTAGTATCCCTCAAAATGGCAGTAATATATTAATTAGAAGGGTCACAGTTTAGAGAGGAAAACCAAGCTTGATTCTAAGCAGACCTTTCCTCATAAAATTACATACAAATATCTCTAAGGAATATAAATGTGTGTGTATATATTCTTATCTCTACTTATATTCATACTTAGAAAAAAGACTTTAGTTTCAAGAAATAACTGACAGTATAAACAAACTACACATGTGTTACAGATTAATAACATTTCCTATCTTCTTAATATTTTTTCCAATAATCACTTCACGTATAATGAAAAATTATATTTTATTTCAGAGTTCAGAACCATTGAACCTATTAAGGAAACTGATATTGTATCAAACACACAGTTTAAAGTTAATGAAATAAAACAAAATCAATTCTCAAATTTTTCATTAATATTACCAAAGTTTAAAGAAAATCATAAGAATTTATTTAAATGCAAACTATTCAATAAGTAGTTTTGTTAATGTTTGACAAAAAGACTATATTTCTCTCAATTATTTTTACTACTTCAATTATTTTTAACTATTTTTCAACTATTTTAACTATATTTAATATCCTAACATAACCTTTTACTTGCAATCTTTAATGAAAATTCTAAAAGTCCTCATTGAAGAGGGACGACTGCACCCTCTAACACAGAAGAAAATATATCTTATTTAAACAGATGTAATAATATTGTAACAAAACAAAGTTTGTTTTATAAGGAATAAATATTCTTTGAAAACAGAAAGCCCATGGAACAACTCAAAGCTAGTTTCTGAAGCTAAAACACTACAGAAAAGAAAAAAAACAAATTAGAAATGCATAACTGATGTGGTTATCAAAAAATGAACCCATATTTAATTTTAAAAGCTAAAAGGCAACTTTTGCGCATTTTCTGCATTACCATTGTTCATTGAAAGAACTCTAAACACAGGTAACCAGAACTTAAATGAGAGTAAACCAGCCATCAATACATCAGAAATCTAGAAAGTTAACTCCAGCAAGATTATGATAAAAGAAAGCTGAGAAATTGATGAGAGAAGAATTACTGATGTTTGATTCAGTAGATATGGCAACTACTCCATTTTATTTCTTCCTTGGATTCAACTTTGGATTTACAAACACGTTCTAACATACCAGATACAAAGAAACAATTACAGTTTGGGTCACAAGATTTTCATTCAATGGTTCATTTATCCATTCACTTACTCTGCCGCTATTCATTTAGTACCTACTATGTACCAAGCATTGTGTTAGGCATATTTACCTTTCCAACTACCAATACAAATGAGTAAGTACTACATAAAGTCTTTTTATGTCTTTTTTTTTTACTTAATTATGTAAAGTAAGAGGAAAAATGATGAGTTGCAAATAAACATCATGCAACTGATATGTTTTTGCTGCTCTTCATTCAAAATGCTATATTTTAAAACCATTCCTATAAATTATTGCATTGCAACATCCAACAGACTAATAAGTCAATGTAGTGGACTTCATTTTGTGTCTCCTTAGAAGGAATCATACCCACATGCTACATTAGAAAATGCAGTTTCCTATGAGCTAGGGCCCTCTATTTATAACAGAATATAATCCATTCCAGATTCAATCACTACTTCTCTTGAACTTTTTTCAATGAAGAGCGAACAGATATTTTGGAAAGGAGTTACTGAATTTTTAGACAGAGGAAGTCTACAAAATATGGAAAGATTGACATAGGGTAGAATTTGGAGTGAAGTCGATCACATACTATTTTGCACTGAGGAAGTAAAATCTGCAGCTAAAAAAAGACTATCACAATTCCCTTCACATTTCTCAGTAGAAAAAGGCTACATCATTGAAAAAAACATCCTTCTTAATTAGTGGTGGCATGAAAATATAAAGCACTTTTAAAAACATTTTTGCTATCATCATTCAATTGTCAATTTTTAAATTAGTTTTCAATTTTATAGGAATACGATCATTTTATGTACTTTTATTTAATTGGTGCTATTATAATCAGAAAGTATCTTCTACCGTATTCTTTAGTAAAATCAGTTCATAAGCCTCACAAGAAAAAAAGTCATAATATACTAAGCATTCCCTGCCATGACAAAATAAAAAAAGACAGACAATGCTTACAAGACAGATTATAGACTGCATACAATATCAAATTCTGTACATGAGTGTGGCAAATCTCCAGTTAGTTTAATCTCCAGTGATATTAAATAGGCAGAGTTCTGAGGGAAAGTGTCACTTGTTGCAAAGTCATGTAAGAGTACCTCGATGTGGAAAATGACAAACCAAAGAAAAGTAAATACAAGGTCAGACAATTAAGTTCGCGAACTCATCCTAGAAAGTGCTACGTACTTCATTGCTGAATATCACTATGGTCACCTTCAAAGTACTCCCCTTGGGAAGCTATGCACCAATGCCAGCGCCTAGTCCACCCTTCAAAGCAATTTTGACTCTTTTTCTGGAATGGCCATCAGAGCTGTCATCGTATTACCCTTGATGTCCTGAATGTCATCAAAATGTCTTCCTTTCAATATTCCCTTTATCTTCCAGTAAAGAAAGAAGTCATTGGGGGCCAGATCACATGAGTAGGGCATGTGTTCCAATACAGTTATTTGTTTACTGGCTAAAAACTCCCTCACAGACAGTGCCATGTGAGCTAGGGCATTGTCGTGATGCAAGAGCCATGACTTGGCGAAAAGTACAGGTGGTCTAACTTATTCATGCAGCCTTTTCAGCACTTCCAAATAGTAAACTTTGTTAACTGTTTGTGCAGTTGGTATGAATTCATAATGAATAATCCTTCAGATATCAAAAAAGGTTAGCAACATTGTTGCAACAAGTTCAAAAACTTAATTGGCAGACTTGTATAACTACTTCCTTAAAGGGAAGGTTTCAGGATAAAGAAACAGAAGTGAAAAAGACATAGAAGGTGATAGGGCTGCATTTAGTAAGTAAAGTGAAGTACTTGAAATTTAAATGACTTTCAAAATTTCACATACAAAGTTATCACTGTTAAACTGCAGGAAATGGTTGTGTTCAAAATTCTCACCAAAATATGAGTATCTGTAGCCTGTTCTTGAACCATCTGAATTGCTTTTGCCAGATCTTCTTCACCTTCTGGAATACTAAAATTGTCATCTGGTATCTAAATCACAGAGAAAGCAAAGGATAGGAAGGGTTAGCAGGAATATAAAAATACCTTATTTCATTTCATAACTGATTTTCCCTCACAAAAGATCAAAAATATATTTTACGTAAGACCCCATGTCATTTTGAAGATCTATGAAAAACAGATAACTGTCAAGTAGGCAGCTTTCTGACTTTCTTTATAACATCACTCAATGTCACATCTAATAAACTCAATATTACCTTATAAACAACTACTTTTGTCTATAATTACAAATGTAGACTAATAACTCTGCTGAAATGTAGAATAATAACTCTGCTGAAAAAAAACATCTAAATGCCACCATTCTCTCCTCATCGCAGATTTTCTCCCCCATTACTGTTTCATTACTACTATGAGCAACTGCAAATATTTAGTTTATTAAAAAAAAAAAACAACTCACTGTCTGAATGTTAAGCTCTTGGAAGAACATAATCAACTCTATGACATTAATGACAGTTAACACTTACCACATGCTTATGTGCTGGTCGCATTTTTAAGTCCTTTTCATCTATTTAACTCATTCAGTAACTTCATATGATATATATTATCTTCATTACAAGCAGTACTAAAGAGCCTGTGTTCTGTATTTGTCCTGTCTCTTGCTTGCCCAGGCCAGAAACAGCCAGGCTTGCATCCACAGTTTCAATCACAGCTGCTGTCATCTAGGAGTGACTCTATCCTCCAAGTCTCAGAAGAAATGATATTAATAGAACCCACTGGAACAGTGAATTAAAGGAAAGGTTTGAGACTGTACCCACATTAGGCAGAAGCACAGTTCAGCTGGGAGGAAGCATATGATCAGAGCTCCAGTGAGGCAGTGGGAACCTGGGAAACCTTGCCAAGAGCAGAAGGGATGACAGGGAACGCCTGCTGGACAGAGGTGACAGTCTGTAGTATGGGTCCCCAAGGCAGGCGATAAGGAGCTGACTCAGAAGGACAATGAACAGGAAAACCAAAAACAGCCAGGTGGATTAACCAATCTAAAAGTTTAAATACTATTTTCACACTTCACTCTTAACTAGCTAAAATTAGCTAAATTCAGTTGAAAAATGAGTATCTCAGAAGGTAGGGAGGGAAGAAATGAGGGAGGGAGGAACGGAGGGAGGGATAAACCAAATATTTCGCAAGAACAATCACAATTAATTTAGAGAATACCTAAAATGAACATATTACCTCTTCATATTCATAATCATCTTCTGATGCTTCAGTTATGGTGACCTCTGAGTATCTTGTTAAGTTTTAATCTCAAAACATATGGCATAAAATGATTATATTTTAAATTGAGTTGACCTTAAAATACAGTAATAGAACCAATTATCTTACCAACTTGGTAAATACATGTAATTTAAGCTTTTTTAAAAAAATTGATCTTCCCCATACAGCTTACAAATAGATATTTTAAAAGAAAATATTTGTAATCATTATTTTAAATTATTGTTCTCCAAAACCCAAACCCACAAAAAACTGTATTTCTATCTGTTTATTTACTAATGATTTCCAACTTGTTTCTAAGAAGCCTTACAAAAGTGCACAGTGTCACCAAATAATATAAATTAGAAAGAGATAAGAAAAATAATGGACAATAAAAGATGACAGTAAGTTTTCAAATTTATCTCAAACCATACTGAATTCTCCAGAGCGCAAGTCATTCACAAGAGTCTGATTTCTTCATCTGGTTTAAAGCATTGTAAATTAAAAAACATACAAACAAACAAAAAGAGTACACCAATATTTAAATATAAGTACAAAATACATTTCGAAGTTTTCATCAATGAAAGGTGTTTAAATCTCCACTGTTTTTTTCTTATGTGTATTTATTTTAAAATTAAATTCTCTTCTCAGGAAAGGTAGCCTAATTTTTAAGCAAATACAAACTGCACAGTAATCATAACTAAGTGGTTCACAATTTTTCAAGAAATAAGCATTAAAATATCGATGGAAGTGACACTAATAAAAAATTCTAACAGCATCACTAAAAATTTTTCAAAAGTTATGTTACAGTAATTATAAGTTAAAACTTCAAGATAACACTTATTTTGTTGGTTGGTAGGTTTATTTTTTTTTCTTCCAATGTAGACTCGGTTATACCAAGTGTAAAAGGTATGAAATTAAAAATTTTAATGCACAGTAATGGTTACAAAACTCAAAGATGAGATTAGCCTAGTTTTCATTTTGCTGCTTGTTAAAAGAAATTATCTCTGTTATTCTGTCTTCCAAAAGCTAGCCGAAGGTGTATATAACAACTTATGCTGTTTGTAATAAAAACTAACACTTGCACAGTATTTAATAGAAACCAGATGCTGTCCTAAGGGTTTTATATGTATTAACTCATTTCCTCCTCCACCTACAAGGCTGGAAGTGTTATCTCCATTTTACAGATCAGAGCTCAGAGGCACAAGGTTACACAGCTAGGACCTATCAGAGCTGGGAACCAGCCCCAGAAGTTAAAGTTTCACTATGCTATACTACCTCTCCTGCTCTGTGTGGGTTTTCTGTGCATGTAAATACTTGAGGTGTTTGCCAATTAGTTTCCACACAGTTCTAAACCTCTACAGACAGGTAATACATTCTTGTTACTCAGCCCATAATAAGCAATAACTCTTCACTGTATGCATTATCACCTGCAGAGATACTTAAGCCTCGTTCACTTACGACCAATCCATCCTCAGCAGCCAGGTACCTGCCAAAGGGTCAGTATTTTATTGTCAAACATGTGTGTCTCTCCCAATAATAGGCTGAAAAGTAATTTATGCTAAAAAAATAATAATAACTAGTTAAAAGCAGTTCAAACCACCACTCACACAGACACAAAAAAGTTGTATATCTGCAATCCATCCCATAACCTTATACTCACCCATATGAAGTACCAGGAGTGAAGTACCTACCTTTCACTAACATCCTACTTAAAGTACTTCCAATAGTAGTCCAACGCTCAGTGGCAAAGCCACCAATACTTTAAGGTATTTCTTATGTTATAACTTCACTTCTGGGTAAAAAAAAATCTGTAATTTTTTTAAGTTTATTGCTGCATAACAACCCTCCCCCCCAAAAAAAAAAACAAAAACTTTGGGCTTAAAAAAACTATAAGCATCCATTATCTCAGAGTTTCTGTGATCAGGAATTCAGGAGTGGGCTAGCTGGAAGGATTCTGCTAGGGGGTCACTCATGAGGGCTCAGTCAACATGGCAGCCAGGGCTGCGGACACCTGAAGGCGTAACTGAGGCAACAGGATCCACTTCCTGATGGCTCCCTGATATTGTTAGCTGGGGGTCTCAGATCCTCCCCAGGATCTGAGGGGTTCTCTCCACAGGCTTCAAAAACTTTCTCAAGACACAGTGGCTAGCTGCCTCCAGAATAAGCAATCCGAGAAAACAAAGTGGAAGCCATAGTATCTTTTACAAACAGCCTCAGAAGTCACGCATCATAATTTATTCAATATTCTATTGGTTCCAGAGGTCGGTCCACTTCAGTATGTGAGGGTACTTATACAAGAGCATTTATACCAGGAGGTGGGGATTGCTGGGCATGATTCTGGAGGCTGGCTACCATACCATCTTACAGGGGTTTAGGAGCACTATAATAAAAGAGTTAACGTATATAAATCATTTAGAGTGGTGCACGGCTTATAGTAAATGCTGTACAAGTGTTATTCTTTTGCTTGTTCTAGAAAGGATGAGTACCTGTGGAGAAACGCTCACAAGTCTCCCATGGCCCAGTTCCCCCTTAGTGAAGATGACTGGATAAAAGACATTTTAAATCTTCCTCCTTTTCTAGATTTATATTTATCTGACACATTTTCACTTAATGAGATAAAATTTTCCAAGGTTCAGCTATAGAAAGTCAGCTTCTATTTCATGGAAAAGTATGCCTCCTTCTGAGAAGCAGCTACTGGGAGTTGATTTTGTAAGCAATCACTTGTCATTAGGTTTCCAGAAAAGCATTGCCATCCATCATTACTGTTTATACCATAACAAATGACACAGAAAAGTAAATATTCTATGATGTATGGATAGACTTTATAATTGTAAATAAACGAACTACTGACGTGATGACTGTGAGGAAGAAACGTGTAAGCAAAGGTTGCTAAACAAAGCAATATGTACAGGAAGAAAGTGACTTGTTCGCAAAGCTTTGAAATATCAAGCAATACCTGTATACACAGAAAATATTCTAAGCTATGGATTTTAATCACTAGTAATATATTCTGCTTACCCATAATCAAAAGAGATTAAGAAAAAAATAACTACCATTTTGCAAAGCTTAAAAAGTATTGTGACACAGATCATAACCATATTTATTCTCATAACCTTGTGAGGTTATTAGGCAAATACAGTCATCTCTAAATTGAAGGGAAAAAAAAGTGAATGAAAGAGATTAATAGATTTGCCCAAAATCATATAGCTATGAGTGCCAAAGGCAAGTTTCCTGAATACAAATGCCACAAATTTTCTACTACACCACAATGTTTCTACAGGGACACAACAGGAATACACAGTTTTTGCTAGTACCCTAATAATGCACTTGCACCTATTTCTTTTCCAAACTCTCAAGTGTTATACTACCAACAGCTAAATCAAAACATTTAAATAGCTTAACGTGAAGACCTTAAAGGAAGAAGTATAAATATGGCTACAGACTCAAGGATTAAATTAATGAAAGGCAGGAAGAGATTAATGAAACAAAAGGTCAGGAACAGGACCAAAATAGGAACCAATATCCTTGACGGATATTTTTAGTATCCACAGATGACTTGAACAGAAAATCTTCATAGAAGCGACTCAGCTGAAAGGAGATGTCGCGGTGTTACTGAAGAAACAGACATACTTTGGCAAGTACGTCGGTATGCACGTTGGGCTGGCTAGCTGGCTAGCAACGACACATGGACAAAGGCACAAATGAACCCCAAAATGATTCCGTGGCAGGTTACACATATGCGCAAAGCACAAAATGTAAAAATACATGAATATGGAAATTAGGAGAGAAAGGGAAATAGAAATCAGGTAAAGATGCAGTACATGCCACAGGTCTCACGCATTTTGTGAACTGCAGGCCACAGGTTTGACTCTGAGCTTCCCAGCAGTCAGGGTGAAAGGGAGATGTACTCAGACACCAATTTGGTATCCATCCAATGCAAACAGATGAGTTTCTCAGCACATAGACAGCAATTTCTGGTACCAAAGCAGGAGAGAAATGACACTCGTAGGTCCTCAGGAAGAGAGAACTGTGGATTGTACAGGTATTGATCCCCTTGACCGTTGGGACAGCCAGAAAGACAGCATGAGGCAGAATGTGACCGTGTGTGAAAACCACTACTTTAGAAGCAGTGTTGCCCGAGTGGCAATGGGCAATTCATCGGGATTGCCTGAAAGATAAAACCTTGACTCTGGTTCTCCTTCTACCAGACAACTTTCTCATCCACAATCTAATCGATTAGATGATCCTATTCTCCAGGAAATGTCCATACAACTAAACTGGTCACAGTGCTCATGCAAAGTTATTTTTCCACTGCAGAATACTAAGCTGGCATTCTGGCTTAAGATCAGTTCCTTAATGCCAAGCTGACTCTGAGCATCTTAAAAACTACCTTCCCATTAGCTACCAAGGATGCCTTCGAAGAACATCCCTGAACTCCAGTTCCAAAATTCATTTTTTTCCTACCCTATCATTTTTTTCCCCTCAGATCTGGTTCTTGACTTTCTGCCCATTTGAACGTGGCCTGACACTTAACACTGTGCCTGGTTTTCCAGCCTGCTCTTGCCCAGGGCACTGTCTGCGGCCCCCCATTCCTCCCTTGTCTGCAGCCATAGTTCTACCTACTTCCATGCCAGCTTCTATATCCTCGAGTCATAGCCTTACCTAGACCAAGGGTCCTGCTCCTCACATGCCTACTTGCCTTGGAAGGAATTTAATAGTATTAATGAGTTTGCATGGTATGCATCAGCTCCTTGCCATTTCGTCACCACATGTGAACTAACCGGTACTTTCGCACTAGCAGAATTGTCACCATATCCTGACTTTCTAGATCCTATCAGGAAGTAGGCCGGTACATACCCACATTGGAACTGCCAGGAAGCGCTAGCTCCATCACAATACTACAGAAGACACAACTGCAAGAAACCTCAGAAAAGCATTTCAGCTGGTCTAATGGAGCAGAGTTCAAGGTGCCAGTTGGTACGACTGAGTCACAAAGTTCTCTAAATGGACCATGGCCAGAAAGAAAGGATGTTCAGACACGAGCAGCACACAAAGTCCCTCACACACTGTTCTCTTCCACTGCTGCATTGGTAGGTAGTGATCACTGCCTGCCGCGGCATCTTTGTAAACAACTGGAGTGAGACATATAGCTAATTATATTTTACATGATTTCCCAAAGCTACTGTAGACAGAAATTGCTTTGTAATCTTTGCCTTCACTGCAGAGCCAACATACACAAAGGCAATCTACGATCTAGCCTGGACCCTCCACAATCAACATTTTACTTAATGAAATAAAAGTACTGTAAACAGCGAACTTCACAGGTATGTTCCCTGTCTTAGGAAAGTCGGTTTAAATAAAGTAAGTTAACAGAATAGCATAAAATAAAGATGACAAATTGCAATGCTTGCTGCCACTTTCCCCAGTGTTGTTTGCTTCCTGCAGTCTCTCCCACCGAGTCTTCAGGGGGGTCTCAGAATTCTTATTAACACCACATGCCAGGAGGCCGCTTCCATCTCTGTGGAAATGTATCGGCCACCCTTGCCCTAGACAGCTATGGCACACAGCACTCAGAAACGGGAAAATCACTTTCTTTCCTAGATGCCTCCTGGTTCTCACAGTGGGTGGTGATGTTAAGTTTTCCAACTTCTAAGCCAGGAGATTCAAAGATATCAACTCTACGTAGTATACCTCTATCTGAAAATATAAAGGTTAGAGGTTAAGATCTTTGTCTACGGCCCTGTTACTCCTATTATAGTTCTTACCAGCAGCACCTGGGAGCTTATTAGCAATGCAGAACCTCAACCCTGACCCGACCCTACTGAATTAGAATCTTCACTGAAAGATCCATAACTTTGATTCACTTGCATATTAAAGTTTGCCTGACCTAGAGGACACAGAACAAAATGCATTTTTTTTCTCTCCAAATAGCCTATGTCTTTCATGCTTGTAAAATTCAGCACTCTGGGTTTAGTAACATGCCTCTTGCTTTAGAGTCTACATTCAGACTGCCTATCCTTTTTATTTGACTATACGTAGGGTATAACTAAACACCCATGGGCAAATTCAGTTTTCCAATGATAATATACTACTTGAGTACATAATGATTATTAAGGGTTTTATAAATATCTTCTCACCATAAACATTCTAGAGAAATAACAAAGGAAAAACATTTTAAATGTTAAAAGGAAGAATAAAATGTTTTTAAATGGCAAACGTTCAATTTTAATTAAACAAAGTTATCAGTGAATATTATTAGTGCAGTGAAAGATTGGCTAGGGATGTCACTTAAGACAAACATACCCATAGATGGGTATCAGTTTAGCGTGATCACCATTATTCAGTGTCTGGAATCCTTAATTTTGCATTTTCAGTAATAGCTGATTTTGGGGCCACATCCAGAGTTGATTAGCCTCAAAGGGCTGGCTTAACTCACTCAATCCTCAGAAATTGCTTTGGGGGCCAGAGGATACCTTTTCAGTGACCAGCAAACTTATGTCCACGATCTAAGAAGCCAAATTCTTAGTGTTAGAATGCCTAGAAAGATAATATAATAATCAAAAGCTAGTTAGGGGAGCAGAGAATCAGCGCAAGGGGAAGTAGATAACAAACAAACAAACAAAAAAATCACTTTAGGGGTTCCACTTTATCCTCGAGTCTATGTATTCCCTTACTTTTCCTTGAACAAGGCTTTTCTCTGGACAAGTAGCAACAAAATCAATTAAGCATTAGCTTTCTTAGTACAGTTCATTCCAGCTTGCTTCTCCCAGGTGGAATTAGGCACTCTCAAATGTCTACAGCCACACATTACCAGGCAGCCAGTGGCCATGACTGCAACTGAAAGCTTCACCCAAGTTGTGCTGATTTCTACTAGAGGATTCATTCACATAAGACAACCAACCTTCTTTACCAATTCTAGAGACACCTACGTGTGTCCCTTTACAAGTCACATAGTTAAAATCTAGCCTTATGTATTACAATGCCGCAAATACTTTTCTTATGAAGAGTCCTCCAGAGGAGTTAGGCACTCCATGACTAGATCTCTTAAAGTGCTGGAGATAGCTAAGTAAGGTAAGAACTATTACATCACCTATGTTTGTATCTCATCTTGTGGAAGGTTAAACCATAAAAGCAATGATACTGTGAAATGTTTTGGAAGAGAAACAGGTGGCACTGTTACAGCTAGGAGTTTACAAGGCAGGGGTGTTGCAGGGGGAAGACATTTTTTTCCTGAACACATTCTCTAAACTGTTGCAAAGAATGTGGGGCCTTTATTAATGAAGTCGTCCCCTCGTGGTGGAACCTGGCTATGTTTTGGTTTGGGCCACATTTGTCCGTACATGTGCTTTATGTCAGGTTGTTTAAAAGCAAAGAAAAGGGTGATTTCCCGGAGAATTTGAGTCAACCTCTTTCGAAGCCTTTCTCATTACTGATAGTTTGTTGTCTTGTGTTCTAGGAGCATCTGTTCTATCATAAATAAGGGAAGTCCAAGAGCAAATGCAATAGATTAGAAATGATGAAGTGTGTGTGCAAAGTAGAGAACATCAGATTTCTGATTCATTTGTGCATATTATAACTTTTCTTTATCCACTGCAATAGCTCAATTAAATTACCTGAGAGTTAAACACTCTAAAACCCAAGAAAGTCTCACTTCAGCAACTATCATAATTGCCTTAAGAAACAATGTCAAATAACATTATAGAGTCAACTCTTAATTATGCACGTTAAGAGAGCTCGGGGGTACAGGGATAATTGGCATTCAGAAGTAATCCTCAAACTTCATTTTAACTAAGAGGTAAAGTCTCTCCCGTGACTAAACCCCTTACCTGAATGTTGCAGTGAATATAGGAAAATTGACTGGGTAAATGTTTAGTTTTGTTGAAACCCAAAGTAGTAGTCAGTCAAGCAAAGAGAGATGAAAGAAAAGCAAAGGGGCTAGATAATTCACACACTGGATAACGGAATCCTAAAAGTTAGAACTGCTTATATTTACAAATGTGATTATTTAGAGAAGCCATGGTAAACGTGTTTTGTACAAGCTGCTCTACATTAGCAGTAATAACTCAGTCATCTCCCTGCCAATTAAGTAATCCTGATTTTCACTGCGGAAACTTGTGCTACATTGGAGTTCCACCATTTATTTCACAAAAATGTTTGCAAAAAGTTACCTCAGTGTGTCTGTCTCATGTTAACAATTAAACTATGCTATAGAAATCATTTTAATCAGACAAATGTGTTATGATGACTGGTTATCATTCACTACCGAGGTCGCTGGATAACTTCACACTTGATGTAGATAAGCTCTGAAAGAAATGTTGACGTGTTGTTCAATTTAAAAAGGAATATTACCGAAAAACCTCGTTAGGGCTATACAAATAAGAGTATAAAACCTCATTTAAGACACTAAAGCACCCACATATCTCATTCAAATCGCTTTCCAACTCTTCAAACTTATATACCTGTAAAACCATGTTTGCATTGAATAAAATACACGTATTTTCTTTGATATTTTCAACTAAGTTCTTCAAAGCTCCCTGTAGCAGGGATGTGTGCTGTGCCTGAGTCAGGACAGGTTAATCACTTCGCCAAAGTTCACAAACGGAATCATTGCTGGATTCCTGAAGTCTTGAATTAAAGCTGGAGTGGCTACTTGGACAATCAATCAATCAATCAATCAATCAATAAATGTGTATGTATGTAGATTTTGGAGTTTCCTTGATATCTTTACAGATAAACCCGATAACCCATCCCCCTTCGACCTGACTGAAGAAAGGAGTGGGTACCTTTTTCTCATGAAGCCTCCCCATCTCTCCAGTACCATTAAACTATATGCCTGAAGGAGAGGAACTCAAAAGCCTTACGCAAGACATAACGAACTTAATTACCCATGTGTGGCTATTCAATTTTGCTGGTTATTTCCATTGAGAATCGTTCATCACAATCTGGCTTTTCCCCAACACATCTGAGCCTTGTCAGCCCACCAGGATATCAGTTAATTGCTGACGAAAAAAAAAAGAAGTAATTATTAAGTAGCCAAAATTGAAACTACCCAGGAATTGATGCTACCTAAACAAATCTTTTTCAGCTCAGCTCGGGCCGGCATAGAACCGCTGTTGCTCACAGCTCAAACTCTTGAGTGAGCTCTTCACCAACGGAGCCACTCGGCCTGCCCCAAAACAAATCATTTTAAGCATTGGACATGAGCTGGATATTCTGACCTTCAGCTCCTTAAAAGCCCAAAGGCAGGGGCGGGGTTAGCTCAGGTGGTTAGAGCGCAGACTCGTAACACTAGGGTTGCAGCTTCGATTCCCACATGGGGCATGGAGGTGGCGCCCTCCACAGCTAGATTGAAACAACCACTTGACTTGGCTGGTGGGTACTGGAGAAACATTGTTCCCCAATGAAATTACTTAAAAAATAAAAAGCCCAACGGCAGAAGTCTTTCCCTCATCGCCTAACTTTCTCAATTTAATTTGTTCCAAAGGCATTCTGGAAGCTTGGGGCCTTATTTAGGAAAACCACTAAACGAAAGGAGGGTTGGATCCATTTGTGCCACCTTCACATAAAACTTCTATCCGAAGTTTTACTGAGTTGTTACTAAGCACGAGACTCCAAAAAGCCTTTCAACTGTTCTTCCAACAGGGACGCAGCAGCCTAACAATTTAACAGGCGAACCATTCACGGGTAGCTAGCTATCAGGGGATCGCGGTGCCAGAGACGCCACCTCAGGGCCCAACAGGCATCTTGATCGGCTCGGTGGCCCCCAGCCTCCTAGGGCGCCCCCAGCGGGAAGCCCGCGCCCTCGGCCCCAATACCCGTTACCACGCCCGCGCCTGGAGGCCGCGCCCACTCGGGAAGGATACGCTCCAGGTAGTAGGCGCCCTCGGCGGCCACCGCGTCCGCGGTGTCCCCGGCATCCGTCAAGCCCATGCCCAACGGTTCTTCCAGAAGCCGCAGGGCCGAGCTGGGCATCCCTTGTTGAGCAGCCATCAGCACCGCTCCGCACCCCCGCCCCTCCGCGTCTCTAAGAGCAACCCCGAAGACGCTTGCGGACGACCGCACGCAGCTGTCGCGAGAGCCTGGCACTCGCGCGCCTACTCGCACCAGGCCTGCCCTGGGCACCGAAAGGCCGCCCAGGCCCTACGCGTTGGTGCCCTCTGTGCTTCCCAGGTTGCCACGGCAACGTCGTTGCCTAGTTACCCTGAAAGCTCCTGACGCAGCTCCTGGAGTGGACGAGATAAGATGCAACGAACAGTTGGCTTGGATTACATACATTTTCTAACAGAGGGAGCATTTTCAGTTTTAACCCTAACATTTTTTTCTCACTTTATTTTCTTCCCTAAATGCCTTTCCCATCGTTTTTTTGCATGCCCATCATCAGTCCCTGGATTTTAGATGTGTGTACAGCCCTGATTGTCCCCCAGGGAAAACGCCTGGAAAAAGAGAAAGATTCTCAGTGCCTGGAGGATGAAAACAAAAAAAATCCTAGAAATCAGAATTGAGAGACTGACCCAGAAGAACTACCATCCTCTGACGCTTAGCAATAAAGAATTAGGGTGCTCAACTTAATCAAATCCATTCTTGTGCTCCTTTAAAATATTTATGTAGACATCTGCCTTGACTTTGATTTCATGCACTGGGACATGGAATAGAATTTGGTTCATTGACCCTTGCCAAGGTAACATCACTTTCATATGAATTATGAGGTACAAGGGACCCTAACATAATGTATAATAAAGGGCATCTGCCCAATCATGTGAGTCTTTTTGTTACGACAGGATCTTCCTCAGATTTATATTGCATATATATCAGAAGTAAGCACATACTAAGCTTTTTTCTTTGAAGATTCGTTTTCATTCTACATTTCTTGATGAAAAATGTTTACCTACCTCAAAGCGTGGCTGCAACATAAAGAATGAAGAACTCAGCAGGCACAGAGTAGACACTAAGAAATGGATGTTATTTCTATTGAAGTTAATTGTTTTGTTTTTAGAATAATCAAGGATCACCATTAGGCATAATATTTGGAGAATTAATTTCTGGTATTTATTCTTTTTATAACTTAATTTTTATCCTTGATGCCTCACATCAAACATATTCTGTGCTCATTAAATGCAAGGAACAACTATAAGGGACTGCAAAACAGAAGAACTCCAAAATTGGGAAATCCATGGCTTTTATAGAAAACCTGCTCCTTGTTCCAGAGGGAGACATTACCTCATCCTTCCAGGTGGTTTTCTGTAAACACAAAACTGGGAAATGGCCTGAGTAAAGACGGTCAGCGCCTTGCTCACCCAGCAGGGCATGTAGGAGCATGAGAGAACCATGGAGGAGAACGTCTCTGAACAATTAATGTTTGTACTGATTTTTTTCTTTTGTCCGTTACAATATCTCTTAGTTGTTTAGATGTAGCACATTATGTTCTACAAACAGACTTAAATCCTGGCTCTGCTGTATGACCTTAATTAACTTAAGCTCCCTGAGCCTTAGTTTCCTCTTGTCTAAAACTGATATTTTAATACCTGCCTTACTGAAATGTGAAGAGTAAGTGAGATATAAAAAGTAAATAAGTGTAAAAAGCAATCATTACCACCATGTCCAGTTCATAAAACATTTTCAATAAATAATTGTTAACAAAATTGACTTAAAATATTAAATGATATGCTGATCCCAAATTGGATGTTATATTTGTAAAGAACTAGCATATATAGGAACATATTTAATACAGAACTTAAACATTTTTGGAAATACCCAGCATTCAAAAAAGGAAAATATTTTAACAGAGTCATAAAAAAAAAATCATGGCAAGTATCCACTGTGTAAAGTAGAGAAGTGGAAGATTCTTCTCAAAAGAGCTAAAAAAATAAGATAAAATGTCTTGTAACTCCACACTGTATGATTATTGCACTCCTCAAAAAAATTTATTTTTTTTAAACTCTGGAAGTTCAGTTCTTTAAGGGTTCCAAATAATCAAAGTTTTAATTCAGAATTCCCAATTTAACTATGTCTATTTTATGGATTCTAAAAGTCAAAGTCACCCAAAATATTTGTGGCTTAACTACAGTTTGAACACGTGTCACAATCTAAGCAGCAGTACATTAAATAAAAATCAAATTACAAACATGTTTAATATTTTATTTTGTAAAACCATTAGGATAGTTAATACTTTAAAGCAATTTTTTAAAAAGCAAAAAAACTTAAATGTAAACATAACCAATAATCGCCTTCAATTAAAAAATAATGAAATGCAAACTTTTGTGATAACTGCTAATATCTTAAAACTAATATGTCTTTACAAGGGATGAATTTAAAAATAGTCCTTTTCTATTAGAAGTTTTGTTTTGTTAATTTCCAGTTTAATTAAAAAGGAATGTGAAATCCTTATTGAGAAAAAACAAAAATTTCAAATCATAGTAATGGTTTTAGTTTCAACGCTAGCCTATATTCCTACCATTCTACAGTTTTTCCTTTTTAAAAATATTTTATAAACTTACTTGAAGTGGAAAAAAAGAAAGTGCCGTAACATTTTGATGAATTAACAGCAAGCTGTCTAGTTTACTTTTGAATATATTCCTGAAAGAGGTAAATAAAGCAAACCAATGGAGACAGTAAAAATGAAGCAACAATCACAAATGACAACAGATTTTATTTCCTCCCAGCCTAAATGCTGCATTCTTGTAAAAGTGAAATTATTTTTAAAAGCAAAACCAGAAAGTAATCTGACAATAGATTTATTCTTCACATTTGTAGTTTCAAAGCAGAGAATATTCCTATGCAAAAATATACTGAAGTACTTTTCAATTTTCAGAAGTTATAAGTGTTCATTTGCTTTTAGTAAATCCCAGGCCATTTAGTTATGTATCATTTTCAAAAAGTAACTATCCTATTTTCTTTCTAAACTTCACAATAAGTGGTAGCCAGTTTTAGAATTTCAGAATTCATAGAAGTAGTGGTAATTGACTGTGATGGAAATGATCATTTTTCAACCATACGGCTATATTTTCCCTTTTCTTATTATCAACCATTTCAAAATTCATGTCTTCCGTGTTCTTAGTCATCTATTGGGTCTTCAGTAAACTCATGACACATGTTTGCAACAGATGGCACTAATTCATTTTTGGAAGTACTAGAGTCATTTGCATCTATGTTATTGCTATGTCATTGGACAGCTGACAGTTCTAGCTTCATTCTAAAAAAAAAATTGAGCGATTTGGTTGAGTTTTGGAGATTTTACAACAAGTTTAAGATGGAAGACCAAACTGTGCATTTTTACTATAATTTACTCTTTTACTTCCATAAAGGGAAGAATGCACATTAAGCTTGTGAAAAGTTGCATAAAGTTTTTGGTGACAATGCTCTACAAGAACGTCAGTGCCAATGATGGTTCACGAAATTCCGTGCTGGTGATGTTGATCTCAACAATGCTTCTCTGTCAGGGAGGCCCACCAAGGTTGATGACGACAAAATAAAGGCATTGATCGAGTCAAACCCACGTTACATGACATGAGAGATTGCAGAAACATTGAACATCCATCATTCAAGCATTCATGCCCACCTGAAGGAGTTGGGATATGTAAGCAAGCTCAATATTTGGGTTCCGCATGAACTCAAAGAAATTCATTTGACGGCAGGTATAAATATCTGCAATATGCTCTTTAAACATAAGGAAAACGATCCTTTTCTGAAGCGACTGATAACTGGTGATGAGAAGTGGATTGTTTACAACAATGGGGTGCGCAAATGGTCTTGGTCCCAATGTGATGATTTGCCTCAAACGACATCAAAAACAGACATTTGTCAGAGGAAGGTTATGCTCTCAGTGTGGTGGGATTTTAAAGGTGTCGTGTTTTTCATGCTCCTACCAAGGAACCAAACAATCAATTCAAATGTGCACTGTTGGCAATTGGACAGTTTGAACGAATCCATCATCCAGAATCATCCAGAGCTTGTTAATGGTAAAGGAGTTGTGTTCCATTGTGACAATGCGAGACCACACACAAGTTTAATCACCTGTCAAAAAGTATTGGAGCTTGGATGGGATGTGTTGCCACACCCAACATACTCGCCTGACCTTGCACCATCAGACTTCCACTTGTCTTGCTCTCTTCAAAACTCCTTGCATGGTATAACATTCACTTCAGATGAGGTTGTAAATCAGCACCTTGTTCAGGTTTTCACAAATAAACACAGGTTCTTCTACGAAGGAGGAATTATGAAGTTCACTGAAAGACGGCAAAAAGTTATCAAACAAAACAGGCAATATATTGATTGATCTTTGTTCTTTATATAAATAAATGACCTTTGAAAAACATAGACAAAATATGTCATGACTTTTCTGAAGACCCAATAGCTCAAACACTATCATTCTTCTGACCCTTAGGATCACATGACCTAACATGAATATCTCATTTTGCTTGGCTACAACGATCAGTTTTTGAGCTGGTATGTGACTTGAAAGGAACCAAGACTTGGTGGGAATTTGTCGGGATTCTGGAAAAGAGACTCTGTTCCTTGGGACTTAACTTCTGGGGTTGCCATAGCTACCTTGCAAGATGAAGATAATTTCTGTCCAAGAATTGAGTCAACGTGGAGGACCTGGGTGAAAGAAAGATAAACGCTCAGTCCAGATAAAATCACTTGAACCTCATGTGTGTGTGTGTGTGTGTGTGTGTGTGTGTGTGTGTGTGTGTCTTTTCTTGCTCTGTCAGCTCATAGGGCCTAGAAGTAACAACACTGCCATAGCACCTAGCTCCAGATCTTAGTTCCTAATACTATTTTCCAAAAAAAAAGGTATGGCCAAATCTAGGACTGGGCTGAGAATGTACAAGATGAGCCTGGAGAATCTTCTAGCACCAGAACATAAAAAAAAGTGCCCCCATCACCAAAAGACTCACAATAACGGAGCTATATCAAAGAGACACAAGAGCCAACTGAAAGAGCTCCCCTCAAAAAGTATAAAGCTAAAACAATTTGAGCAACAAAATTAATAAAGTCATATTGGGTCATAACCCAAAATATAAACC